TTACCGGTGTGCCCGCTTGGTCCTCGGCTACCGACCATCTCGCGTCCCACGCGCCACGGCAATGTAAGCCTTTCCAGCATCTCTACAGGCCTTTCGGGGCGCTGTCTTTATCCTAGCTTTCCCTGTCTCTTACCACCCACCCGTAATGGCCCCACGCGACCATTACATTTTGGCGACGAGCTTTAATTACTACATTTTGGCGACGAGGTCTTTTCTTTCATTTTTCCATTTTCGCCTCTCGTGAACATTTGATCAAACTCCGTGCCGGAGATGAGTGGTGGCAACACCGGCATGTATGGTTTTCTTTTTGTGTGTTAGTTAATATTGTAGCGTTCAGAATGTTAGGTCCTTTTGGAATATTTGCATCCACCACATCTTTTCAGTGCGAAATGTAGTACATAAAATAATGTCGACGTATCGCGACACTCGTTCCATTTCGTCCGTCAACCTTCCATTTCAAAAATCAGTAGTGGTTACGCGTAACGCGTTCGAGTGGTTCTTTTCCTTTTACGCATGTAGTGCGCACAGCACGGAAGCGTCCATCTCTTTTTCGTAACTCAGAAAATTGTTCCCGTTCTCATTTGGGGTGAAATTTCTATTATTTTTGTCAATCTTTCAAACTATCTCGCAACGGTAAGAGGATGGCGACGGCTTCCTTACCGACGCTACCACCATTTCTTCCCACGCCAGGTGCCCCTGCGCAGCCTTGGCTAAGTTGGAAAACGTCGTTTTTCAATTATCTTGAGGCCATAGAGGCAGATGAAAGCTCTCCGAAGCGCAAGCGCGCACTACTGTGGGCGTTGCTTGGCTTGGAAGGCCAACGAATAGTTTCGACATTTCCTTCAACAGTCCCCGCCAGCAGCGCGGCCGTTTCTGAATTTGATGAGCTCGTAGCTGCACTTGATGAGCATTTTGCTGCCAAAGCTAACGTTGTCGTCGAACGCAAGCAATTTCTCACCCGCGTCCAATCACCGGGAGAGAGCGTCCTCGACTACCTTAGCGCACTCAGGCAACTTGGTTATTTTTGTGATTTCGGAGAGTCCCTTGAAAACCGCATCGCGGAAGTCTTTTTGGCCGGTTTAAATTCATCGGAGGTACAAGATCGGGTAATCCGAGAGTCTACGGAAGCTGGACTACCCAGCCTCGAACGTATTGTGCTTCTAGCACAGCAGTTCGAACAGGCGTCTCGAGATTGCGATCGGTACCGCCAATTTCCCTCCAGTTTATCGCGTTCTGGAACGCCGCACGCCGTTCAGGTCGTACAAGGGGTTTTTATTCAGCGTGAACAAGATGGCCGACGATCGAATTCGAGTTTGAACATCCAAGATCAAAATGGAGAGCGGCGGCATGCCATTTCCTGCTCCCCCGCAAATGTTTCCTTCTCGCCGCAACACCAGTCGCGCGAGTCGCGCGCACACACCCGCACTTTCGTGAGCCGAGTACCGCGTGATGCTCCGCCGGGCGCGCGCGCTCTTAGGCACGGGGCAGAGTTATGTCATTTCTGCGGTCGCCGACCCCATCCACGTGAGGAATGTCCTGCTTCAGGAATGTCTTGTTTTTCTTGTGGCAAACTAGGTCATTTTTCAAATGTTTGCCGGAGTTCTCCTCCATCGTCCGCTGCCAGCGATCGTCGTCAGCTGGCCTTTCCGCCGAGACGTGGTCGGGCCGCCGGTCGCCGGTACCAGCGGCTTGGAGTTGGCCGTAACCAGACAACCAGCCATGAAAGCGTGGCATTTTCTGACGAAGAGGAACAGCAGCCGAAAATTTGCACCGTCGGGTCACCGGAAGTCCTTCCAAATGGACGCGCCGACAGTCGCCCACGGAATTTCACCGCTGATGTTCAGGTGAATGGATCTACATTACCATTACTCATTGATACTGGCTCCGAAGTTTCAATACTTTCCGAGAGCATGTTTAACAAGATTAACTCCCAGCAGCAAATCCGGCTAAGGAAACCACCGCGCACTCTTGTGCACTACCTCCGAGGGTCCATTCCAGTCGTGGGATGTTTCCAGACCAAAGTCGGCTTCAAAGAGCGATCCGCCGAGATACTTTTCTACGTTGTTCGCAATGGCCGATCCTTGCTTGGGACAGATGCCGTGCATAAACTTCGTCTCATTTTGTCGGGTGCTCCACTCAAATGTTTCCATGTCAATTCTGCGGACTCTTGCGCAGCCATCCCAGGCCATGTAAAGACGGCCGAAGTTCCGCAGTCCCCAGGTGCGGCGGAGCCCAGTCCTCCGCCGAGTACTTCAAGTGCTCCCTGCAAGCACCCTCTATCATCGTCCACTGTTCACGGCTCTCAGCCATCCACGTCGTCTGAGTACTACTCAAGTAGAGGCGTCTTTGGAGACCAGACTTCAAGGGATCCGTCGACGTCGCGACCGTCTTTGCAACCTTCCTCGGTGAGCGATGCATCGAAGTTACCTTCTGGTTTTGAAGAATTTGAGGATCTTTTTTCTCCTGAATTAGGGTTAGTTAAAAACCAAACACACACAATCACTGTCCGGCACCATGTCCCGCCGGTACAGGCTAAACTTCGCCGCTTGCCGATCACGTTGCGTGATGCCGTCAGTGCAGAAATCCTGAAGCTCGAGCGCCAAGGCGTTATAGAGCGCGTAAACGCATCAGAATGGGTGTCCCCTATTGTAGTAGTTAAGAAGAAAGACGGTGGAATCCGTATGTGTGTCGATCTGCGGGCGCCAAACCAGGCTGTCGTTATTGATTCTTTTCCACTTCCGCACATTGATGAGCTTCTGAACTCCCTCAGTGGAGCTTCCCATTTTTCTAAGTTAGACCTTGCGTCTGCTTATCACCAGGTCCGTCTCGACCCCAAGAGTCGTGACTTAACGGCATTCATTACCCATGAAGGGCTTTTTCGTTTCAAACGAGTTTGTTTCGGTCTGGCGTCTGCACCAGCGGCCTTCCAACAGATCATGTCTAAGATATTAAAACATTGTCCAGGAGTCCAGTTTTATCTGGACGACGTCATTGTCTATGGCTCCTCCCAGAAGGAACATGATAGAAATCTCAGACAAGTCCTCAAATGTATTAGAGAGGCCGGCATGAAGCTAAATAGAAAAGCCGTTTTCAATGTTTCTGAACTGTCATTCCTTGGTCATCGTCTGTCTGCGGAGGGTCTAGCACCCCTTCCGTCGAAGATTGACGCGGTCCTAAATTTTCCAGTTCCATCGGAACCTTCGCAGTTGAAGGCCTTCCTAGGTTTAGTAGAATATTAGAGTAAGTTTGTCCCCCATTGTGCTACTCTGGTAGAACCCCTCCGAAGGCTTCTGCGCAAGGGCGCATCTTTTGTCTGGTCGACCGACGTAGAGGCCAGTTTTCAAAGTGTCAAGTCCTGCCTTCAGCAGGCTCCCATTCTTGCAATGTTCGATCCAAATCTTCCAGTTGTCGTCTCCACAGACGCGTCCAATTACGGACTAGGTGCTGTTCTCCAGCAGCAGCATGGGAGGAAACTAAAGACTGTTGCTTTCGCTTCCCGCTCTCTCTCCGAAGCAGAGCGGAAGTACTCAGCAGGAGAGAAAGAAGCTCTCGCAATCCTCTGGGCTTGCGAGAGATGGCACGTTTATCTTTGGGGTAGACATTTCGAAATTCACACCGATCATCAAGCTCTGGTCACATTAATGTCCACTCAAGGGACAGGTGTCCGTCCACGGCGCATCAGTCGCTGGACGGCTAGACTTTTCAACTACAATTTCACCATGAAGTATCGCAAAGGAAGCGACAATGTAGTTGCCGACGCTCTGTCTCGCCTTCTGGTCTCAGATACCGAAGAAGGCATGGCTTTTGAGGAGGAAGTGGTTTCAATCGTCTGTGCATGCCTCACAGAAAAAGAATTCAAGGAAGAAACTGCAAAAGATCCTGTATTGCCAATTGTCATGACATTTCTTTCCAACACATGGCCTTCAGAGGACAAGTTACCTTCAGAGTTCAAACCATATTTCGTTGTGAGAGACCAGCTATCAGTCACAGATGCATTGTTGTTCCAAGGAGAGAAAATAGTGGTTCCGTCCACTCTCCGCGATCAAGTGATTGATGTAGCTCACGAAACCCATCAAGGTATCTCGCGCACCACCAGTATCATCAAGGAGCTTTACTGGTGGCCGCATTTAAGTCAACATGTCAGGACGAAAGTTCAGAACTGTTCGGTATGTCAGTCGACAGACAAGCCTGCAAAGGCATCTCCAGCACCTCTTCAACCAGTTGAATGTCCCACTCGTCCATGGGTAAAACTTGGTATGGACATTGTTGGACCGTTCGAACGAGCTCCTGCTCAGGAAAGATTTTTTATCACGTTGGTAGATTACCACAGCAAGTGGCCTGAAGTGGCACCAGCCCACAACGTCACGACTGCCACAGTCATAAAGATTTTGAAGTCTGTCTTTGCCCGCGAGGGTTTGCCGCAAGAGATCACGACAGACAATGGTCCACAATTTATTTCAAAGGAGTTCAGCGATTTCTTAAAGACGCATGGCATCAAGCATGCAAAGTCATCCTTCTACCATCCCCAAGCTAACGGGCAGGTAGAGCGATTTAATCGAGTTCTTAAGTCTGTCATTCAGTTGGCACTCGTCCAACATCGTCCGCTTTCTGAAGCCATTACGGAATATCTCAGTGTTTACCGAAGTACTCGCCATGCAGCGACAGGAGAAACACCAGCATTTCTTCTACATGGTCGCACTCACCGAACGCGACTGCACCTCCAAGGGCGAGGGACCCCAGAGTCCACCGTCCCTTCACATGTCATTCAGGAAAAACTTCCTGACAGAGTCAAAGAGTATCAAACAAAGATGAAAAAGTATTCAGATGCCAGGCGAGCAGTTAAGCACCCTGCTTTTGCTCCTGGTCAATCAGTAAAGGTTTTCAAACCCAACATTAGAGGAAAGATGCGAAACAAGTATGATCCACCGCAACGCATACAGGAACAAGTAGGGCCAGCCACATATAGATTAGATGACGGAACCACATGGAACGCAGCCAAAATGACACGTACCACATTGAAACCGCGCCAACGTCAGCCGTTGTGGCTTATGGACGATGACATATTCCCCACTTCAACTAGTGCGGCCCCTGTTGTCGTTCCTGTTTTTGCGGCCCCTGCTGCCGTTTCTGTTTTTGCGGCCCCAGTTGCCGTTCCGGTTCTTGCGGCCCCTGCTGCCGGTCCTGTCCCGGCGGACCCTGTTGCCGCCCATGCTTCTACGGCACCCGGTCCTGGCCATGTAGCTGTGGTGCCTGGCGCTGCCCATGTACCGGAAGTACCCGGTGCCCTTCACGTTCCTGCTCCCGCGGCACCCTGTGCCGTGCAAGGTGCGGTGGTCTTCGGTGGCCTTCCTGCCACCCCAGTCCCCGGTGCCATTCCTGATTCCGGTCTCCAAGCGGCTTTCCGCGCCGCCGTACCAGGCAATCAAGCCAGCAGCCAGCCACCAGTCCCGCTGGCTGCCCCGGCTGCAGTCTTCCAAGAGGCCCCCAGGGTCGCTGCCCAGGAGGGTTCTGAACCTTCCGTTCCTTCAAGTGGTGCCATATTGAGCACCGCATCAAGTTCATCTCAACTGGGACTCGGGTATTGGAGCGAGCTGCCATCATCTAGCTCCGCAACGGTCTCGGCGGAGTCCCTAAACTCCGTGGGACCAGAGGTCGCCACACTTTCCGAGCCTCCAATGGACCATACTTTAACAGAGGGCTCTGGAGATACTCTTGACGTGACATTAGAATCGTCACCAACAGCAAGTGATCGTGATGGATCGGAGCCATCCACCCCTACGACTCCCCAGGCATCTCCATCCGACAATCATCGCCCAAGGCGACAGAGACGTCTGCCGGCACGATTGAGAGACTATGTGTTAGATTTTTGTTCACCCAGTCCCACTACGGGTAGAACATTTGACATTTAGTGTTACTCCCGTATGCAGAATTTTGTTTTATAAGTCTAGTGTTTTTTTGTACACGCTTCAGTCTAACTTAATGTTTCTCGACAAAGAGGAGTGTTCCAGATAACGACTGCACCATTAACATTATTTCCTTTCGTTACTAGATTACCTTCTGTTTATTTTTTTCCCTTATCGTGATTGGTAGGATTTTTGTGTGTGCGTGAACTCTGTATTTTCTTTAAGGAGTAAGCTGTTTTCTTCTCTTCCCTAATAAATTATCCAACATTTATTTTTCTATTAAGGGAGGAGAAGATGTAGTGTGCTGTAAATAATCTAGATGGCGTTTTCAGCTGCATTTGAGATGGTGCCGCGCGCCGCGTGCTTGACAGCGGCACGCGCTGATTGATGTAGATATTGAAAATACAAGCAGTCTTGATCGAAACTCCGAGCTGGCGTGTCGTGTCTTCCTTTACCGGTGTGCCCGCTTGGTCCTCGGCCACCGACCATCTCGCGTCCCACGCGCCACGGCAATGTAAGCCTTTCCAGCATCTCTACAGGCCTTTCGGGGCGCTGTCTTCATCCTAGCTTTCCCTGTCTCTTACCACCCACCCGTAATGGCCCCACGCGACCATTACACAGATCAATTTTAGAATTGTTTTATGAGCAATACAATATGGCGACTTACATCAAACAAACTTTACAGCGTGGATGCGTCTGGATTGAAAAACCATTCACTCACGCTGACGGGAAGCCTGCTCTCTGAAGACCCCACCTGTAGTTCCACTCTACTCTCGTTAATAAGGCAGTCTTGGTGCCTGCTTCGATTATCCGAAAAATATGGTTTCAGATCAATTTTAGAATTGTTTTATGAGCAATACAATATGGCGACTTACATCAAACAAACTTTACAGCGTGGATGCGCCTGGATTGAAAAACCGTTCACTCACGCTCACGGGAAGCCTTCTCTCTGAAGACCCCACCTGTAGTTCCTCTCTACTCTCGTTAATAAGGCAGTCTTGGTGCCTGCTTCAATAATCCGAAAATAATGGTTTAAGATCAATTTCGGAATGGTTTTATCAGGAATACAATATGGCGACTTACATCAAACAAACTTTATAGCATGGATGCGTCTGGATTAAAAAACCATTCACTCACGCTGACGGGAAGCCTGCTCTCTGAAGACCCCACCTGTAGTTCCACTCTACTCTCGTTAATAAGGCAGTCTTGGTGCCTGCTTCGATTATCCGAAAAATATGGTTTCAGATCAATTTTAGAATTGTTTTATGAGCAATACAATATGGCGACTTACATCAAACAAACTTTACAGCGTGGATGCGTCTGGATTGAAAAACCGTTCACTCACGCTCACGGGAAGCCTTCTCTCTGAAGACCCCACCTGTAGTTCCTCTCTACTCTCGTTAATAAGGCAGTCTTGGTGCCTGCTTCAATAATCCGAAAATAATGGTTTCAGATCAATTTCAGAATGGTTTTATCAGGAATACAATATGGCGACTTACATCAAACAAACTTTATAGCCTGGATGCGTCTGGATTGAAAAACCGTTCACTCACGCTGACGGGAAGCCTTCTCTCTGAAGACCCCACCTGTAGTTCCACTCTACTCTCGTTAATAAGGCAGTCTTGGTGCCTGCTTCGATTATCCGAAAAATATGGTTTCAGATCAATTTTAGAATGGTTTTATGAGCAATACAATATGGCGACTTACATCAAACAAACTTTACAGCGTGGATGCGTCTGGATTGAAAAACCGTTCACTCACGCTCACGGGAAGCCTTTTCTCTGAAGACCCCACCTGTAGTTCCTCTCTACTCTCGTTAATAAGGCAGTCTTGGTGCCTGCTTCAATAATCCGAAAATAATGGTTTCAGATCAATTTCAGAATGGTTTTATGAGGAATACAATATGGCGACTTACATCAAACAAACTTTATAGCGTGGATGCGTCTGGATTGAAAAACCGTTCACTCACACTCACGGGAAGCCTTCTCTCTGAAGACCCCACCTGTAGTTCCTCTCTACTCTCGTTAATAAGGCAGTCTTGGTGCCTGCTTCAATAATCCGAAAATAATGGTTTCAGATCAATTTCAGAATGGTTTTATGAGGAATACAATATGGCGACTTACATCAAACAAACTTTATAGCGTGGATGCGTCTGGATTGAAAAACCGTTCACTCACACTCACCTGAAGCCTTCTCTCTGAAGACCCCACCTGTAGTTCCTCTCTACTCTCGTTAATAAGGCAGTCTTGGTGCCTGCTTCAATAATCCGAAAATAATGGTTTCAGATCAATTTCAGAATGGTTTTATGAGGAATACAATATGGCGACTTACATCAAACAAACTTTATAGCGTGGATGCGTCTGGATTGAAAAACCGTTCACTCACACTCACGGGAAGCCTTCTCTCTGAAGACCCCACCTGTAGTTCCTCTCTACTCTCGTTAATAAGGCAGTCTTGGTGCCTGCTTCAATAATCCGAAAATAATGGTTTCAGATCAATTTCAGAATGGTTTTATCAGGAATACAATATGGCGACTTACATCAAACAAACTTTATAGCGTGGATGAGTCTGGATTGAAAAACCGTTCACTCACACTCACGGGAAGCCTTCTCTCTGAAGACCCCACCTGTAGTTCCTCTCTACTCTCGTTAATAAGGCAGTCTTGGTGCCTGCTTCAATAATCCGAAAATAATGGTTTCAGATCAATTTCAGAATGGTTTTATGAGGAATACAATATGGCGACTTACATCAAACAAACTTTATAGCGTGGATGCGTCTGGATTGAAAAACCGTTCACTCACACTCACGGGAAGCCTTCTCTCTGAAGACCCCACCTGTAGTTCCTCTCTACTCTCGTTAATAAGGCAGTCTTGGTGCCTGCTTCAATAATCCGAAAATAATGGTTTCAGATCAATTTCAGAATGGTTTTATGAGGAATACAATATGGCGACTTACATCAAACAAACTTTATAGCGTGGATGCGTCTGGATTGAAAAACCGTTCACTCACACTCACGGGAAGCCTTCTCTCTGAAGACCCCACCTGTAGTTCCTCTCTACTCTCGTTAATAAGGCAGTCTTGGTGCCTGCTTCAATAATCCGAAAATAATGGTTTCAGATCAATTTCAGAATGGTTTTATCAGGAATACAATATGGCGACTTACATCAAACAAACTTTATAGCGTGGATGAGTCTGGATTAAAAAAACATTCACTCACGCTGACGGGAAGCCTGCTCTCTGAAGACCCCACCTGTAGTTCCACTCTACTCTCGTTAATAAGGCAGTCTTGGTGCCTGCTTCGATTATCCGAAAAATATGGTTTCAGATCAATTTTAGAATTGTTTTATGAGCAATACAATATGGCGACTTGCATCAAACAAACTTTATAGCGTGGATGCGTCTGGATTAAAAAACCATTCACTCACGCTGACGGGAAGCCTTCTCTCTGAAGACCCCACCTGTAGTTCCACTCTACTCTCGTTAATAAGGCAGTCTTGGTGCCTGCTTCGATTATCCGAAAAATATGGTTTCAGATTAATTTTAGAATGTTTTCATGAGCAATACAAATGGCGACTTACATCAAACAAACTTTATAGCGTGGATGCGTCTGGATTGAAAAACCATTCACTCACGCTGACGGGAAGCCTTCTCCCTGAAGACCCCACCTGTAGTTCCACTCTACTCTCGTTAATAAGGCAGTCTTGGTGCCTGTTTCGATCATCCGAAAAATATGGTTTCAGATCAATTTTAGAATTGTTTTATGAGCAATACAATATGGCGACTTACTTCAAACAAACTTTATAGCGTGGATGCGTCTGGATTGAAAAACCGTTCACTCACGCTCACGGGAAGCCCTCTCTCTGAAGACCCCACCTGTAGTTCCACTCTACTCTCGTTAATAAGGCAGTCTTGGTGCCTGCTTCGATCATCCGAAAAATATGGTTTCAGATCAATTTTAGAAAGGTTTTATGAGCAATACAATATGGCGACTTACATCAAACAAACTTTATAGCGTGGATGCGTCTGGATTGAAAAATCATTCACTCACGCTGACGGGAAGCCTTCTCCCTGAAGACCCCACCTGTAGTTCCACTCTACCCTCGTCAATAAGGCAGTCTTGGTGCCTGCTTCGATTATCCGAAAAATATGGTTTCAGATCAATTTTAGAATTGTTTTATGAGCAATACAATATGGCGACTTACATCAAACAAACTTTACAGCGTGGATGCGTCTGGATTGAAAAACCGTTCACTCACGCTCACGGGAAGCCTTCTCTCTGAAGACCCCACCTGTAGTTCCTCTCTACTCTCGTTAATAAGGCAGTCTTGGTGCCTGCTTCAATAATCCGAAAATAATGGTTTCAGATCAATTTCAGAATGGTTTTATCAGGAATACAATATGGCGACTTACATCAAACAAACT